ACTTGGATGAATTCACCTAAAGCATAATAAATTCTGCGGTAGCCCCTTATTTTTTACAATGTTTCCCATTAGACCGGGAGCTCTTTGAGACCAGGGGCTGGATTTTACCTTTAACAATTACATTATTGTAAAGTAATGTAATACATGACAATGGAACCAGTTGGTTCTTAATGTTTCAGATGTGTTTCTTATAAAGGACATATTGCTGGATTCTGCTTTCTGCTATCTATTTCCATTTTATGAGTGCATTTATCCCATTTATGTTCAATGTTGTGATAGTTAATTGTGTATTTCCCTCCATCATAACTCCTTCTACTTTTTCTGTCTTTTTTTTCCCCTTTTCCCAAATGAAGTAAGTGGAGAAAGAAGCTCTTTGACATTAGTCATCTATAATGGACATGTTCTAACTCTACTCTTCTGCCCTAACTTTACCTAGTCCAGATCCTCATCATGGATTCTTGTGTTTTCTTTTTCTACCTGGAATAAAATCTTTATGATCCACACTCTGAAACTGAAATTTTATTTACTTCTATTTACTCTTATTTCCAGCCTAAGCATTGGTCCCTTCTTCTGCTGCAGCTGTAGAGGTGGGCTGGATGTGGGGAAAATGCTGTTCTGAGCCCCCTCGGAGGGCTCCTGTCGTGTCCCTGCCACCAACCAGTAGTTTGACCTGTCTCTTGCTGTGGCTTTGATAGAAAAAACAATAACAATAAAAGCAACAATTGCTTCATGGTCTTTTGAGAGATCCCAAAACACTGATTTCTTTCCCTTGAAGGGAAGCCTGGTGCCTCCTGTTGCACTGACTGTGATTTTCTTGCTATGGCTTTGAATGCCTTAAGGCTAGCATTGCCTACCTCCCTGAACCTATTAGGGGCTGGCTCTGTCCCTACATGTCTTCTTTGACAGCCTGTACCCAAGATCATAGTAGCATCAGGTCTGGTTTAGTAGAGTTTGATTTGACCTCCATCTCCCTTGGCATGTGTCCTCTGTGAATACGCGTAGACTTCTGGCCACTTTCTTGTGGAGTCCCAGATTGGCTGGAGGGCCTTATAAATCTTTCTCTTTATTCTGCTTGATTATGGTTGATCTGATTCTCAGATCTGTTAGCCCAGGCCTTACCTCTCTCCAGTCCTTGAGTCTTGCATCCTGCAACTGTTTATTGGACATTTCAAACTGTCTCATGGATATCTTAAACTCCACATGTCCCCAACTGAACTCATTATCTTTTCCCCTCAAATTCTCCCCTATTCCTAACTTCCTTTCCCTTGCCAAGGGCACCAGCATCCTTCTAATCACCCAGGCTTACAACCTAGGTGTGCTTCTCCACTTCTCATTCTCTCCCACCCCACATATCTGATCTGTTGCCAAGTGATGTCTATTGCTTCTTCACAACATCTCTCATATGTGCCCCCTTCTCTCCTCTGACACTGTCACCATCCTGGTGCAGATTCTCATCAACTTTGCCTGGACTACCGGAATAGCCTTCTGGTTTGTCTCTCCTCATCAAGTCTCTCCCCTCTCCAGTCCTTCTTCTACTTACCTGTCAAGGTGATTTCCCTGGAGCTCAAATCATAATATGTCTGCCTTCCATTCCTATTTAATAAACTCTCTTGTTTAATTGTTCCATTGGGTCTAACTCTTTGTGACCTTGTAGACCATTCTGTCCATGGTGTTTTCTTGGCAAAAATTTCCTTGTCCAGTGGATTAAGTCTTAACAGAGGTTAAGTGACTTGCCCAGGGTCATACAGCTAGTAAGTATCTAAGGCCGTTATTTGAACTCAGGTCTTCCTGACTTCAGGCCCAGTGCTATATCTACTGAGTCACCTGGATTAGATGCCTCTAATAAACTTTAATGGGTCCCTTTTACCTCCAGGATCAAATATAAAACCATCCATAACCTATCCCCTTCCTACTTTTCCAATCTTTCTCATACCTTACCCCCTTCATACTTTGTCATCCAGTGACACTGGTCTTTTTGTTTCTCTTCCCCAAATACTCCATTTCCTAACTAGATATTCATATGCAATGCTCTCCCTTATTATCTCTGCCTCTTGGCTTCCTTTGGATCTTAGCCAAAGTCCTCCTTCTGCAGGAAGCCTTTCCTAGTCCTGCTTAATGTTAGCACCTTCCCTCAGAGATTATCTCCAGTTTATCCCATGTTTATTTTCTTTACAAATAGCTGTCTGCTTGTTGTGTTTCCCGTTAGACCAGGAGCTCTTTGAGAGCAGGGCTGGATTTTGCCTTTGTATCCCTAGTACTTAACACAGTGCTTGTCATATAGCAGGCATTTAATAAATGATTGTTGACTTGATTTGGCTGCCTTGTAAGTCGTTGTTGGGGTGTTTATTGGAAAACTGGGTTCTCCTAAGGCCTTTCATCTTGTCCTCTTAATCTTTTCACTTTACAGATGGAGAAACTGATGCTCAGGGCAGTATGTGACTTGTCCATAGTCACCTAGGTAGAATAAGTGTCATAACTAAAACTGAAACTTTGGTCTTTTGACCAGCCCTTTTCCCATTACACCCATATTAATTGGAATTTTTTTTAACTGCTACTACATTTCTAGTGTATTTCAAGTAACAAATTTCAAGAATGTATTCTGTATCCTAAGGAAGAGAACAGTTATTTTCTTGGTGCAGGAAGGTGGCTCTACATTTCTGATAGGGGATTCGAGTTGCTGGGGTCATCACCCCATTGCATGATCTTCCAGTTCCATTTAGGACTGACAGGTTAAACAGCATGGAAACATAAGATGCTGCAGGCGACAGTAGGAACAGCCACACTTCAGTCCAGTGTGAACATAGCTTGAGCAGAGTGTGAAGAGAGAGGGATGCAAGAGGGAAGAAATCCATCTCCCTTTCTGTCCCCAGGAAGTTACATTGATAGGTTTTTGAGGCTTCAAAGGGAGGAGAAAAATCATTAGGTACCTGGGCAGCTAAGATAACCGGATCCAAAGAGAATTCCTGTTATTTTTTTTTTGAGATAGAGAAGACTGAGACAGCCTGAAAAATCCCTCAGAGGTAAAGAAGAGACCCAAAACTAAAGGGAAATTCTAACACAGGGGTTCTTAGCTCAATGAACTTTTTTATCACTTTTTCAATACAAATGGTTCCGTAGGTAAGCCTATATATTTTGTTGTATGCATTTACAAATGTGATTCTGAGAAGGGGTCTATAGGCTTCTTTAGATTGTCAAAGGGGTCCATGTCAGAAAAAAAGTTAAGAATCCTGGCCTAAGTGTAAAAGAAAAGGCATTTATAGTTAGTGCCACAGATAGAGTGTCCAGCCTGGAGTCAGAAAGACCTGAGTTCAGATCTGGCCTCAGACACATATTAGCTGTGTGACCCTGGGCAAGCCACTTGACCCTGTTTGCCTCAGTTTCCTCATCTGTAAAATGAGCTAGAGAAGGAAATGGCACACCACTCCAGTATCTTTGCCAAGAAAATGGGGTCACAGAGAGTTGGACACAACTGAAACAACTGAAGAACAAAATTTTATGTTATTAAATGTGATAATAATTGTAAAGTATTTAGCACAATGCCTGGCACATACATACTAAGCACTATATAAGTGTTAGCTATCATAATTATTATTATTATTAACAAATGTGATAATAAGCACTTAGCACAGTGTCTGGCACATACTAAGCACTATATAAGTGCTCGCTATTATTATTATCATTATTATTATCATCATCAGATGTGATAATAATTGTAAAGCATTTAGCACAATGTCTGGCACATAGTAAGCAGTATATACATGTTATCTATTTTTATTAGCTGGAGATAAGATAGAGATGACAGGTGCCCCTTGGGCCCACTCTGACATGAAGAAGGAAAGAAGGAATGAACAAAGGAGAAGCTGAAGTTTTTATGATTTTATAGAAAATGGATACATACCTGTCCTGCAATCTTTGAATTCTCTCCTACTTCCTTCTCTCAAATATATGCGATTCTACCCATTTCTCAGATGACTCCCAGAGGGAGAAAGGTGGGTAAAGCAGCCTTTGGGCTCATAAATACATTGTACCTCAGCACCCATCTAGTTTTTTTTTTTTAATTTATTTTTATTATGACCTTAACAAACGCCAAATAAAAACAGACATCTCCATATTCATAGCGAGACAGGAAAACAGCACATCTCTAGTAAATACAGCTTACTTTTCTTTTTAAATACATCAGGTCAACACACAACTTTCAAAACTGCCCCGCTCATCTGTGGTTCTTTCTGGCCTTCCTTCCTTTCTCTTCTCTGTGTTTTTCTTTAAAGATGCCTAAAGAATCCACTTTTCTTTTCCTTTTTTCTTTTTCTTTTTTCTTACCTTCCCTTTTGTCCTCTCAATGGCAGAAAAAAATGAAGCCTTCATAAGAAATATGCATCATAAAATAAAATTCTTATATTGGCTGCGTCCAAAAACGCGTGTCTTATTGTAGACCTTGAGTCCATCACCTGTCTGTCAAGAGGTGGGCAGCCGTAAGCATCCATTTATTCACCCGTCTTTCTGGTTGGTAGCTGTTGTGCATCTGGTTAAACCCAATTACATTTTTTTAAGGAACCATGACTTAAAACCAAAAACACCTATTTTGTGAAAGCCATAGATATTGGAGACAGCGTCTTTGGTCAGTCTGGCTCTGGGGAGGATGATTAAAAGCAGGTAAATGTTTCCTTAGCTCATGGAAGGTCAGGGCTGGATAATTTCTTCAGGATTGCCCTAGTTCAATTTCTTCATTTTCCTGATGAGGTTGATGGGGATGAGCTTGGCAGGTTCTCCAGGGTCCCACAGGCAAATAACAGTAGTGTTTTTATCTGTTAAATAATGGCCTAAAATAAAATCTTCCTTCTTGAATACTGTTGACGGTGCCAGCTTTGGGGATTGGGTGTCCCCCCCCCTAGAGCCGGGAAGTAGGCTCATCTTCACCAAGGGCACCTTCCTTATTCTGTTGTTGTTTTCTTTTTTGACATTGCTTTTACACTCTGATCTTCTGTCCCTTTTCATCTTAGGTTGAGAGGATCGTAGACAAAAGGAAGAACAAGAAAGGGAAATGGGAATATCTCATCCGATGGAAAGGTTATGGTAGCAATGAGGACACTTGGGAGCCTGAGCATCACTTATTGCACTGTGAGGAGTTTATTGATGAATTTAATGGGCTCCACGTGGCAAGAGAGAAGAGGATTAAGTCTGGGAAGCAGACCAACACCCCCAAATTCCTAAGAGAAAGCCGAGGAGCTCCTATAGAGAAACTGTCTCATAGACCTGAATCAGGGAAGAGCAAAGGGAGTTCCCACAAACGGAAGCGAATGAACCCTTCCCTCCAAAAACCAAAAAAGGGGTATGCCACAAAGCCCCAGTCAGGGGGGGACAGGGCTGCCAAGACTGTTTCTTACCGAACTACGCCCAGTGGGTTGCAAATCATGCCATTAAAAAAGGCACACAGTGGGATACTGAATGGAGATGCCAGTCATGAGAAGGATGCGGGACACTTTGAGGATGCCTCCCAGCCGCCCAACTTGGATGTGAATGAGCACGAGGGAGAGCCCGAGATGGCCAACGAATGTGAAGTTAGCCACGACTCAGTGGTTGCGAATGGAATTGGTATGTGAGTTAACTGCTTAAATGCCTTCTCTCGGGTTTTCTTGTGCTGACAGCAGACAGAGAGGGCCGTTTTCTGGTGAGCCATTGTCCTGCTGCCTTGGTAGCCTGGTGGGGAGAAAAAAAGTCCTTCAGAGGGGTTGCCCTCCGTGGTGCAGACAGCCAGTAATTCTCCCTTCATCTTTCTCACCCAGGGTCATATGGACTTGGTCATGGGCCCACATTGGTTACAGACACGTATGCATGTGGGGAGGCCAAACCTTTGAAGCTCATGTCTGATCACCAGCCAAGGTGTATAATGAAACTGAAATTCCTGACTGCACTTCAAGGGACCCAAGGCTGTGGTAAAACCTCTGTAGTAATGCTGCTTCATGGGGTCTTTTCCAAAGCCCCTCGCTCACAATGGCCACAAGGGGCTTGTGTGTCCTCAAAGGGGCAATACCACGGCAAGACAGAGTTTTCTTTGGAAAACATTCAATTTTACAGTGCCTAGCCCTCCTCTCATCATTTCCCCAGTGCCTATGGCCTCATGCAAACTGTGTATGTGTGTGTGTGTGTGTGTATATGCATGTGCATGTGGGTACATGTGAGAATATGTGTGTGCATGTGTACATGTGTGAGTGAGAGTAGTTAGAACTATAGATCTATGGGGATATAGACCTTTGGGGGTGGGAATGGAGCAGGTCATACACTCTTTCTTTAGGATTTCTGTGCATTTTTCATACCCATTCTCATATACGTGGTCATTCGACCTATCCGTCAGTGGAGCTGCCTTTCTCAGAATCCTTCAGTGGAGATGGTGCTAAGGCTTAGTTGGTGAAATGGTTCTCCTGCCTGACTCATACCTTCTTCTTTGGGTTTCAGGCAGCTGGCTACTTGATAGAAATGCAGAATTCCCATGACTCCTCCTCTAAGGCTACCCAGACAGGCAGGAGAGTGTCTAGAGAATGTAGGCCTAAACCTGTTCTGCTCTAGCTACAGCAGCCAGTTTGATCCTGGGGAGGATAGTAGGCCTGGCTTCTTACTAGCTATATTGATCACAGGTCTTTGACACATAACTGGTGGTGCCACAGATAGAGTGCTGGGCCTGGGGTTAGGAAGACCTGAGTTCAAATTTGGCCTCAAGTACTAGCTGTGTGACTCTAGGCAAGTCATATTACCCCTGTTTGCCTCCATTGAAAGAAGGGGATAATAGTAGCACCTATGCCCCAGGGTTGTTGTAAGGATCAAATGAGACATTTGTAAAAAGTGCTTGGCAAGTAGTCGGCGCTATATAAATGCTTGGTCCCTTCCTTCCTCCTTCTTTCCCGTGATTCTATGCCTCTGCCTGTTTCCATAGAGTTTTATGTTTCATTGCCAGAGATATAAGTATGGAGCAGTCAGGAAACCCCTCTGTGGGGTGGAGTGGTCCGTATAAAGCAGAACTGTGAAATCAAGCTGTCCTAAGTAGGAAGGAAGATGAGGAGGTAGTGGGTCATGATGGATGAGGCTGGGATGAAGGGGTGGCAGAAAGGGAGAGAGGAATGTCTCCAGATAAAGTTAATGTTAGAGTAGTCCATAAGCATTTGGTAAGTACCTGCTATGTGCCGGGCACTGAGAACAAAAAGTAAAGACAATCCCTGCTCTCAAGGAGCTTGTAGTCTAATGGAGGAGGCAACATGCAAACAACTATGTACAAACAAAATATAATCAGGAAACATAGGAAATAATCAATGGAAAGAAGGCACTAGAATTAAGATGGACTGGGAAAAGGAGTCCTATTCAAGCAAGATTTTAATTCAACTTGAAGGAAGTCAGTAGTCAGTAGGTGGAGATGAGGAGGGAGAGCCTTCCAGGCATGGGGGACAGCCAGAGAGATGTCCAGAGCCAAGAGACCAGTGTGACCATTGTCCAACCAGACATACTTGAGCGTTCAGGGAACTGTCACTGGAGGTTCCAAGGAATAACCCTGGATTCAGATTTCTTATTGTCTGGGAGATAATTAGGGAAATGCTGCATCTCAGAAGACTGGACTAGTGGTCCTCTAGGTATCAGGTGGAGCAATGTATAGAGCACTGCCCTGGAATCAGGCAGACCTGAGTTCTTCTTCCTGACAATTCTAGAGATTTGAAGTCAGCTTTCATAGCCCTATAGTCTTTTTCTCTCTAGTCTGAACATTCTGTTCATTCAAACAATATTTCCCCCCACCAAAGTGGCAACGCTGGCTAATGGCCAATGGAGACTTCGAGCTTCTAGGGGATCAAAGGCTTTTTAGCTCTTGCCCTCACCCAGATAACAACCTTCCTTTCCCCCCATAAGGTCTTGGTGAACATTTAGGGCAACACTGTACTTCAGAATAGGAATTTTCTCAGGAGGGGACCTTGTCTCTCCCATTAAAATGGAAGCTGTCTGAGGACAGGGGTTCTATCTCTCCCTTTTAAAAAGAGCTCCCTGAAGAGGAAGAGTCCTGCTATTAGACTACAATCTTCATAAGGACAATTAATCTTAGTATAGAGGGGACCTTGAGCTCTTGAAGGTTGTGAAGGTGAAGCCTAAATTTTGGAAATTCTTCCAAACCCGAAAGTCTTTTTATACAGGGAAGGATTAGTGCATTTAATCTAATTAAGTTCACAGGATCAGATCATCAAAATTTTCCCTCAGGTGGTAAATTCTTTTGTTGTCCACAAACTATCATGAAAACAATCTGGGAAAGCTAATTTGAAGTGGTAGAAAGGAATCTAGACACAGAGTTAAATGACCCAAGTTCAAATCCCAGCTCTACCATTACTCTCTCTACGTCTCAATTTCCTTCTCTGTAAAATGAGGTTGAACTAATTGGCCTCTGATTTCACCTCGAACCCCAGATCCATGAACCTTTGGTCTCCATGACTAGATGATTTCTAAGGCTCCTTCCACAACTAAGACTTTGTGGCTTGCAGTGGAGGGAGGTTCCATGATAAAACTACGTCCCTCTGAGGTATTGAAGAAGTCGGTATTTTAGTGATGACAAACCCAGGCTTCCCAGCTTCATTGATGTTTGTATTTCAAGAAAGAACCCTGTGCCTTCTGCCAAGGAAAGAGAAGATGTATTGACCAAGACTGTACTAACATATGCAAGATCTGTTTGTTTAAAGAATCATTCACTTGGTTCTTGGGGAGAGAAGTTGGCAGGATTGCCATGTGGATCTATAGCAGGGGTTAGTTTTAATGATGCCTTTTCCCAACAGCTGATGAGCCCTGTGGGAATCCTGCTCTCTCTTCATAGGCAGGGAATCCAGAAAAGGGGTCCCAGAACAGTTCGGACCCGACAGCACCTTTGTCCAGAGTGTGCTCTCCTCCTCCTTGCACATCGACTGGAATCTCTTTCCCTACCTCCTCCTCCTCCCCCTTCCTGATCAGATGGGTGGGAGTTCTAAGCTAAGCTTTCCCATCACTTAGCACAGTGCCTGGCACATAGCAGGTGCTTAATAAATGTTTGATTGATTGACTTAGGCAATGATGAAGTGGATATTATGCCAGGCCTAAGGTCAGGAAGACCCGAGTTCAAATCTCATCTCAGATACTTACTAGCTATATGACCCTGGGAATTCACTTCACTTCTGTCTGCCTCAGTTTCCTCAGCTGTAAAATGGGGATAATAAAAGCACCTACCTCACAGGATTGTTGTGAGGCTCAAATGAGATCATATTTGTAAGAAGCACTTAGTATAATGCCTGGAGTATATAAATAATTATCCTCTTCCTTTCCTTTCTCTGGGACTTAACAGGAAAATACAAAGTAAGAACAAGAGAGAAGACTTTTCTTTCTCCATTACACTAGGGAAAGAAACGGGTTAAGTGGTGGTTCCACGTTCTGCTATCTTATAGGAGAGAAGGGCATGGTAGTCTTAGACTAACAGGATAAGAAAGGTGAGGTGGTGGTGGTCCCTGTTTAGTGTTGATAGGAGAGGGTGATCCCATGTCCTGGTGCCTCCAGGAGAAAGAAAAAAAGATGTGTCAGTATCTCCAAAGTGGGGGAAAGGGGGAAGACAGGGGGCTGGTCTGCATGGACCTTCTGCACGATCTCCAATAGATAGGGATAGCATGAGGGCACTGAGGAGGGCAGCTAAAATGCAGGGCAAGATTCAGAGAAGGATGGTGGATCCCCAATTGGAGGGGATACTAGAGGTCATCTCCTTATTTTACAGAAGGAGCTCATGAGGAATAGAGAAATCAAGTGACTTGCCCAAATCACATAATTAAGGATAGAAACTTAATTGAACTACGCTCCCTTGGCTCCAAATTCAGCAGTCTTTCTACCACACATTGTTGGGACTGAAAGTTTAAGTAGATTGGACTGAGGATGAGGGGGACTTAGGTCTTAATGTGGCCAATAAATCCCTGTGTGATCTTGGGCAAATGATTCAGTATTTTTTCCTCCTCTATAAAATGGAAATAAAGATATTTGCTCCTACCTTCCTCAAAGGCTGATTTTGAAAATCTAAGGAGATAATACAAATGGACCATTTCATTGTTGTCATGGATTTGAAGCTGGAAGGGACCTTAGAGGCATTCAATCCCAATTTTTTCATTTTACAGATGAAGAAACTGAGGCACTGAGAGACTTTAAGTGACTTGCTCAGTATCACATAGCTAGTAAATGCCTGAGGTTGGATTTGAACCCAAGTCTTTAAATTTGCTTAACATGGTACCTGGCACATAGTAGGTCTTGTTGAATTGAAAGAAAGAAAGAAAGAGAAAGAAAGAAAGAGGAAAGGAAGGAAGATAGATGCCTGTTCCTCCTTGCCAGTACCCAGGATGATAATTGGGGGGATTTGGGAAATGCCAGACTGCTCTAAGGGAGCATGTGTTTTGGAGGTGGGCTGTTGCTTTTCTGTATTATTTTAGGTTCTCTTTGATAAATGCAGATTCTACTGAAAAGCGGCTTGCATAACACATCTTACTCATTGAAGCTGACTCCCCTGAGCCATATTGTGAGAACAAATGCTAGGCTGCTAATATGTCTGGGTAGGATTCTGGTTGTTTGGCCTACATGGATATGGGTGATGTGTACAAGGGGACTCCCTCTGTTGATGCCCTTCTCTGCTAGGGCCTCCTTGTGACTTGACACCAGTCCAGGGTTTGCAAACCTTGTGCTAAAGGGGCCCAGGTTCTGGCAGGTGGCCCTTTGCGTTGTTATATCTGCCTACTTAGCACCTTGAATAGTGTCTGGAAGATAGTAGACATTTCATACATTGCTTGTTCAATCACAAGTGCTTTGTAAACAGTTAAACAGTAAACCTATAGAAGTGTCTATTGTTGCTTCACAATTACTTTCAGGAGGTTTTAATTTGTTTAATTATTTTTTTTTGGTTGTTATTTTAAAG